TCAAAGTGCCGAAAGGCAGTCTGGTGGCCATTGTCGGCCAGGTTGGATCAGGTAAAGATAGATATTTTTTTAAAACCTTGGTTTTTGAGAATAATTTTTACTTTATTACTTTTAGGCAAAAGCTCACTCCTTTCCGCCATGCTCGGCGACATGGAGAAGGTGGGCGGAAGTGTCAACGTGGCCCGAGGCAGCAGCATCGCCTACGTGGCGCAGCAGGCGTGGATCAGGAATGCCACCCTGCGGGATAACGTCCTCTTTGGAAGTGCCCTCCAGTCGGCCCGCTATCAGCGGGTAATTGAGATGTGCGCCCTGAAGCCCGATCTGGCCATTCTGCCCGGCGGAGACCAGGTGGAGATTGGCGAGAAGGGCATCAACCTGAGTGGAGGTAGGCGGTGTGGTGATAAGTGCTTGATAAGATAATAACCGATTTACCCTTTCTTTATCCTTATCAGGCCAAAAGCAGCGAGTGGCAATTGCCCGTGCCTGCTACGATACCGCCGATGTGGTCCTTCTTGATGACCCACTCTCTGCGGTGGACTCTCACGTGGCCAAGCATCTTTTTGCTCATGTGTTGAGCAGCAAAACGGGATTCCTCAAAGACCGGACCCGGGTGCTGGCCACCAATAACATTTCCATTCTGCCTGAGGTAGATCGAATCGTCGTGCTGTCGACCAGTGGAACCATCTCCGAGGTGGGCAGCTACCGAGAGCTGATGGCCAACTCGGGCAAGTTTGCCGAGTTTGTCCGCGAGCACAACAGCGAGGACCTGAACAAGAAGGAGGCCGAAGAGGAGCGGGAGAGGGAGAAAGCTCTGAGGGAGAAGTTTGCCCGGTCGACTTCGGTCATCTCCACGGCATCTTCCACCGCATCTTCAGTGCACAAACGAAAGCTGACCATCAACGGGACACTTCGATCTTTGGACGGTTTTGATGGGGATTCTGCAATGGTCGAACTGGGTGAAGCCGACTCGAGCTCAGCCAGCAAGAAGCTAATTCAAACCGAGCTGGCGGAGACGGGCGGCGTAAAGCTGAACAACTACATTACCTATTTTAAATCGTACA